TAATACACGAGGGACACGAAATGCTAAATAATTTCAGTTTTTATTAATATTGAAAAGTTTATTATATTATTCAAATGTAAATTTACACTAAAGGGATCTTTAGAAATTGGAGAACCATTGTTTTTAAATATCAAGTGAAAACAAGAAACATGACTTAGGTATTTTGGTATTTTAATTTCGAGTTAATTAAAATGGGTTTGAGAGATAACACCTATTATAATTTTTAGTATAAATATGACATTCTGACAAAATTTAAAATGTGAAAAATTAAAATTAACTTACTTGCAGTTTAAAGAATTCTTATGAGGAACATTTTCTTTCAAATGGCCAACAGATAATTCACAACGCTTATTACACGACAGACAACAATCTGGACAAGTAAAATATTGATCTGGAAATAAAATTGGTTTTCCATCACCTATTTCTCCAGAAAACTTTTTGTTTAATACCTAAATTGAAAATAGTATAATTACTAATCGAAAATTGCCTTTTAAAATCTAAAACAATTATTTCTTTTTGTTAATCAAAACAAGTAATACTCACTTTTAATACTTCAAAAACTGTTGCTGGACATCTAGGAGACCTAATGGTATTACTATCTAATTCGCTTTTTACAACAGATTTTAACTCGGAAAAATCACACAATGCTGAAGCCTGCAATCCAATATAATGCAATGAACTGAATGCTTTTATATCCAAATTTAATTCTAAGAATCGATTTCTTAAAACATCTTCAGAACTTTCGGTAACTGCTAAAATGAATTCAATATAAAATTTCAATTTTACATATCAATACTATAGTAAAACTTTATCTTTTCTATTTTAAATTAAAACTTATATTATGAGTGAATCAGTCGAAATAAAATATTTTAAATAAAAAACTAACTTGATTGAAGAGGCTTTGTATGCCTACTTTCATGAAAGATTACAACTGCAGGTCCCACAGTCGAAATAGAATTGTCACTAAAATTTTTTAATATAGATTTAAAATGGTAGGTGAATGCTTTAGAAGCAGAACCCAGAAAGGTGAACATGTCTCTAGGCAAGCGTTCAGTTCTTGTTTTATATATAACAACATCTGATATAGCCAACACCTTAAATGTATAAATATAAGGCAATTACAGAAAACAATAAATTATTTCCTTATGTAAAATATTGAATTATTTTTAAATTATACCTTAAGCAACAATCTGGTAGTTTGAAGTTCTTGATTTGTTGAATTTAATAAACCTTCTGTATCAATACAAATAATTTTTAATTCAGGATCATAAGCAGCCCATATTCCTGTGGTGCAGGAAGTTTGAGATGATGAAGTTTTAAATACCTCATTTTTATCGAAAAATGTTTGATTTAGAGTGTAGGATTTTCCATCACCAGTATTACCAAAGATTGAAACCACTTTAACCTTAACAAATGGGTCAGTAATTCCAAGTCTGAGTACAAACTGTTCAGCTGTTTCTATCTTAAAAAGAAATTTATTTAAAATTAGTTTTTGTAAGCCAAAGAGCAAAAAACAAAAAAATCTGTACTGTGAATTAAATAAAAAATCATGTTCAAATATAATAATACTCAATGATTGAAAACAAAGGTTAAAATGTTGTTCTTGAGTAATATTCAATTTAAAAATTTTAAAAAAAAATAGTTTTGCTTTTTCATTTGTCTTATTTTAAATGAATTATTAAGAAAAGTGTAATTTTTTGAAATAAATACCTCAAGTTCTTCTTTGTTATTTAAAATTTGAAAACTTTTATTTGTATTATCTCTGGTAGATAAATTTAAGGATTCAAATTCTTTTTCTAACATAACGTTTCCTGAATTATTAATGTCTGAATTCATGTTAGTATTATGATGATGATGATCAGAAACTTTTGATGATTCCAGCACGTTCATACTGTCCAAACTTTGCATTATCGAAGGTGAATTTGCGTCAAATTTCCGATACATTTGCGGCCAACGAGAATTTTTTTTTTTTACATGTTGTTCCATTTGTAAACTGACCTTGTGACGTTTTTCTTTGTTGTTATCTCTCACCTCTTTTAAACACAATCAAAACGTAACTACAATATGAAAATCTTAAGGATATATATATATAAATATATATATTTATATAGTATTTAACTAAATTATAAAGCATCAAAAGTTAAAACCATATTTAAAAAAAAGGTTTTAAAACCGATTGAAATACACTGTTGCAAATAACGGTAATCAAACATAACTGCAGTAATTAAATAACTGAAATTTATTCACAGAAAAAATAATTTGTCATTAATTTTTGCTACCATATTACTTATTTGTAGCAATCCCTCCGTAGTAAATCGCGCGCAAACCAAAGTGTAATATTTACAATTTCGAGAAACGTCAATGAATTTTGTCTAAGGTGATTGATTGATCATAAAATGATTATTTTAATTTAGTTTACAATTTTATTTCATTATATTTATTGCTTTTAGTTTATAAATAAATATTTTTTTTCTTCTCTACGATAATAATACATTGTCAAAAAGAGATAAATAGAAAATTACAAACGGTGATTTCGATGAAATCATTTGGATGTGAAATGTTAATTAAAATAAAAATAATTCGTTATTTTTTTAGTTATGGAGTATTTAATAAAAAAAAACATTAATATGGATAAATAAAAAGGTATTTATAACGTTAATTTAATTCGTTTATTAGTATTTATTTGATATACATACATTTGTAACGCATTTGTTATTGTGTTTATGTACACAGATTCCATTAATCTGCAGGATTACAAAAACGTTTAATTTATTGTTTTTTTATTTTATTTTTTTAAATTATTATTAAAAGGATTCACACGGGATTTTAAAATAAAATATATAAATTACTTAATTATTTATAATATGTAATTAAATTATACTGCGTTTTGCTTACGTCATCATTTACCACAAAAAAAATGCTTAAAAGGAAAACGTTTTGATTTTGTTTCACGTTCTTTTATTTTATTTTAAAAGTTTGATGTAATTTTTTTTTTTTTTTTTTACTTCCTTTTATTTAATAATAATCGTAAACATATTATTTTATATTTTTTTATTTGATTATTTGTTTATTTATGATTTATTCTTAACAATTGGTTTTAAAAAAAAAAATGGAATTAACCTTTTTATACGAAAAGCGTTCGAAAACCGTTATTTTCAAAATGGTGTTTCGTAATAAAAGTAATATAGCGTAACGATAAAAAAATTTTCATTTTAACGTTAAAAAAAAAAAAACGATAATTAAAATGCTTTTGCGTAATAAAAACAAAAACTAATCAAATTCTAATAAAAAACAAAATTAAAATCTCAAGGAAAAATTTGTTTAATTTTTAATTATTTCAAAGTGTTACATGTTAATTTTTTATTCATCAAATGACCACATTAAACTTCCATTGATTTGTGAATAAAACTAGGGAAAAGGAAAAATTTATTTTTTCTTCAAATTGTTACTTTTTTATAAATTTATTTTTATTTAAAGTGAAAATTTTTCTTACGTTTAAAAAAAACAAATATTATTATTATTATTATATAAATTTTCACGTTCTATTTTTATAGTCTTGTATTGCAAAACATCATTTGAAAAAAAAATTTTTTTTTTTTTGCATTCAAGGTGATCAAGTTTATTAAATGTTTTTTTTTTAAATTTTGAATTCTATCAATCAGAAAATCCTTATCAAAATTGTATTGTGTTATTAATTAATTAATTATTTACATAAAAATTTATTTTAATAATTTTTTCCATGAAAATGTTTTAAAAAACATTTCAAATCATGTCCAAAATACAAAATCATGTTTTAAAGAAATGATGAGTGAATTTTTAATATTTAATTAAATTATTATTATTATTATTTTATTTATACATAAATACATACAGTCACAAATTTAAAATTTACTTATTATTATCATTTTTTATTTTTCAGGAAAATGGAAAAACGTTTAAGTGATGATGTGATAAAAAAAATGTTTTTTTAAATTTAAATTTTGTTTTAACTAAAAATTTAAAAATTTAAAAAAAAAATGTGAATAAAGTGAAATAAATAAAAAAAAAAAATTTCATACCTGATTTTGTGAAAAGGGAGACGAACTCATACGTTAATTTAAAATTTGTGTTCAAAGTCGACTGGTTTTTTTTTTTTTTTTTTTTTTTTTTTATTTGGGTAGTACCCGGGAACCTCCCCCGTGAAATTAATTTGGATTGAAAAGTATAAAAAAACTTGTCGTAAGTTTATTTATTTATTTTTTTCTTTTTGGGGGGGGGGGGGATTAAAAAACTAATCAAATTATTATTATTATTTTTTATTAAATAATCATTATTATCAGAGTGTGAATTACAACTATTTTACATTTTGTTGTTGTTGTTTAAATTTATTGTTTTACATTAAAAATTTTATTGGTATATATATTTTTTTTAATTATTATTATTATTATTATCATTAGTAATTGGTGATAACATGACATAGTTTTTTAGGCCTTGGGTTAACGTTTACCAACGTTTACTTAGTGTGACTAATAATAGTAATAATAATAATAATAGTAATGGAATTAATATTTGATATTAATATTTGATTTTTTTTTTTTTTTTGTTTGGATTGTACGACCATTTTAGAAAACTGGGTAACAAAACTTCTGTTTCGGAAATTATGCAAAACGAAGAAGAAACATCTTCAAAAGATGACGATGAAGAATTATTATTATTAACAGAAGAAAAATTTCGTGAAAAATACAATTATGAAGAAATGAAAAAAGTTACATTTAAAAAAAAATTTAAAAGAAATTTAAAATGTAACAAAGAAAAAATATTAAATTTTATCCCGATATGTAGATGGTTACCAAAATATAATCCGAAAAAAGATTTGGGATATGATATTATTGCGGGAATAACAACAGCAGTCATGCATATACCACATGGACTTTCATATGCACCCCTCGCAAGGGTTGATCCCATAATCGGTTTATACATGGCTATTTTTCCTGTTTTTGTTTATATGATATTTGGTACTTCTCGTATACTTTCCATCGGAACTTTTGCCGTTTTATGTACAATGGTAGGCGATGTCGTAAATAGTCATCAAGCTAATTATCAATCTTTAATCGATAAAGCTTATGCTACGAATAACACTTTAATCGTACAACATAATTATACGTCATTAGAAGTGGGTACTGCTGTTTGTTTGCTTGTTGGTTTTTGGCAATGTTTGTTAGGTTTTTTAAGATTGGGGGTTTTTATGGTTGTCATGTCAAAAAGCATGGTATCCGGTTTTACGACGGGAGCTGCTATATGCGTTTTTTCCTATCAGCTTAAATCAATTTTCGGTATCCACGTTCAAACATTTACTGGCGCATTAAAACTCGTTTATTTTTACATAGATTTTTTCAGTAAAATAAAAACAACGAATTGCGTGACACTCGGCACGTCATTATCCGCTATTGCTCTATTGTTATTTTTTAACGAATATTTAAAACCATTAATTAAAAAAAAACATCCTAAAAATCGAATACCCGTACCCATAGAATTGTTTGTATTAGTAATAGGTATATTAACATCTTACATGTTAGATCTTAAGAAAAATTATAATGTCGAAATAGTAGGATACATACCACAGGGTATGCCTGTAGCTCAAATGCCCCCCCTATCACTATTACCCCACGTAATTACAGAAAGTTTTATGGTGGCTTTAGTCGCTTTGTCAATAAATTTGTCTCTGACAAAAATTTTTGAATCAAAATCCGATTATGTAATTGATGATAATCAAGAATTAATTGCTTATGGTTTTTCAAATATCGCATCTTCATTTTTTTTATGTTTGCCTTCTGCTGCATCACTTTCTAGAACCACAATACAATATTCAACCGGTGGTAAAACACAATTGGCTAGTTTTTTCAGTGCCGTACTCATGATTCTAACAATTATTTTTGTACAATTTTTATTCGAACCCGTACCTTATTGCATACTCGGATCGATTGTTGTCGTTACTCTTAAGGGGCTACTTCTACAAGTATTAGATTTGCCAAAAATTATAAAAGAAAATTTAATGGATGGAATAATTTGGATCGGTACATTTTTTGCTGTTATATTAATTGATATCGATATAGGATTAGGGGTTGGAATACTTTTATCCGTTGTTTCCCTTGCATTTTCTTCTTCGGTTTTAAAAGTTAACGTCATAGGACAGGTTCCTCAATCAAATATATATTTAAATATGGAATTTTATAAATCAGCAACATCAATACCCTATATATTGATATTAAAAATCGAGGGAAACGTTACTTTTGCCAATTGTAGTAATTTAGAAAAAAAAATATTAAGAGAATATAAGAATTTTTTTGCATTTTCCATCGAAGATGATTCAAATGTAATATTAGATTTAAGTTCAATGAATACCATCGATCCCACGGGAGTTAAAATTTTTATTGAATTATATCAATATTTTTCTAAATTAAATACTAAATTATATATAACTCATTGTAATAATAGAGTGTATAGAGTTTTACACAAATGTAAATTTTTTACAATTTTTCCAAAAGAACAAGTGGCAGCATCGGTAAATGATGTCGTCATTTATTTAAATAGTAAAAAATAAATTATGTATTAATTTAAAATAATAATAATAATAACGATAACTAATTATGTACTTTTAAAAAAAAAAAAAACAACATTAATCGTTTTGGAAAATAAATTTAATATATTGTAATTTTTCTGATTTTTTTTTTTTTTGATTTGTCACAGTTTTTATTATTATTATTATTATTATTATTATTATTATTATTTAATATAATTTTAAAAATTAGTGATTTTTAAAAAGAAAAAACCTTGTCTAATTGAAAAGATATTATTTATTTAAATAAAATAAATGTGTACATAATTAATAATAATTTTTCTTTTTGTTTAAATCAAAGTAAATAATAATAATAATAATAATGATGATGATGATGATGATGACTTTCAATGTATTTCAAGATCGAAATGAAAAAATTTACGATAAATCACCGCCATCTTTAAATATGTATATATTCACATAAATAAAATTTCTACGTTGATTGTTTATTATTATTATTTACCCATTATTGTTATTATTATTATTATTATTTTTTTATTTAATTAAAAATTTTACGTGTTCTTTCATATGTATTTATTATTTCTGTATATTAATTTTATTCGTTTTTAATAATTTAAAACAATAATATTTGCTTATTGTTTAAAAAAAAAAAAAAAAAAAACAAACAAACTTCATAAAAAATTATAAATAAAAAAAAAATGGTTAAATGAATTTTATAGAGCGTCTTAGTAAAATAAATATCGAAATGTTTCCACCGAATTTAAAAAAAAATATAAGAGAAATCGACAGGCAAATAACACTTTTGGAATCCGAATGTAAAAATATGGAACCTGAACAAAATGAATCGCTTTCCACTGTCGTCCTCTCAAAAGTTGCCATTAGAGAATTACCCAGTAAACCATTTATAACGGGTCCAATACGTTCAACATGTTCATACAATTTAAAAAAATATAATAATAATAATAATAATAATGGCGGCGTGATAACGAATAATACATCGAAAATATATTCTGTATCTTCTGGACCAGTTGAACAATTTAAAAAAACAAATTTTAATATACATGATACCGATCGTGTGATGATGATGATAGACGATGGAAATGATAATGACACGAATGTAACAATTGATGAAAAACAAAATTTGAAAAGAAGTGAAAAAATAACATGTACAAAACAGGCACGTAAAACGGAAGAAGAAAATTTTCCGATTATATTCAATAGCAGTACGCCAAAAAAAATATTTCACAAAGAAGTTTTATTAGCTGATACCGGTGAAACGATCGAAGTAACCGTCATGCAAAAATTAAACAATAATAATAATAATAAAAACGATGAAAATAAAACCGGAAATAAAAGATCGGTACGTTCGATGGAAGAAAATAATGGGGGATCAAACGATGAAAAGAAAACTTTAGAAAAAAATAAAAGTTTTATAATAAAATCAAAACACGAATCATCGACTCAAATAAAAAAAAATTTAAATTTACAAAATGATAAAAATTTCCCTGATACTAATAATAATAATAATAATAATAATAATAATAATTTTATCGATAAGTCTATGAGTAGTAAAAACATTCAGGGATTTTATAAGAAATCATCAAACAATTACTCGGGTAAGTACTTTACTATTATTTTTTTTTTTTAACGTGATCATTATGACTTTAAATAATAATAATAATAATAATAATAATAATAATAATAATAATAATGTTTTTATTTTTCATTCAAAACAAAAAAGAAGAAGATGAATTAAAAAGTGATTGTTTGGAATTGAAAAAAAAAACAATAAATGAAATACCACCAATGGAACATTTATCGGTTAAAACAAATCGTTTCCGGTCTGCACGTACGAAAAGAAAATCTCAAGATGAAATACCCATCGATATTAGCGTGTCAAAGGGCATACAAGAAAAAAAAATCCAATGCATGATTGGAAAAGAAGAAAAGGAAAAATATGATTTTTTAATCAATCTTAACGATTCGATTAAAAATCTTAATTTATTAATTGAAGAATTTAAAAAGAAATCACGTAAGTTATAAAAATGGATTCCATGACATGTGACGTCATAATTAATTTTTCAAAATTTTTTCTCATTTCAGTTCAAGATGATAAAGAAAATGAAGTATTGAACGAAATGCAAAATACTTTGACAAAATTAAATAAAATAAAATCATCGACGACTTTAAATTGTCCAATAAATTATTTATTAAATGAAAATGGCGGATTTTTAATCGATAATAATGATTCGGATGGTAAAAAAGTATTATTATCAGTAAAAAAATATTGCGAACAACTCACTGAAGAAAAAACATTTTTATCCGAGTTAGTCAGTAAATAAATTTAATACGAATACAAATACAAATATTATAAAATAATAATAATAATTTTTAATGGGGTTTTTCCTCTGTTTTTCCAGGGAGCTCACGATAAAAAATCGAACGATTGCATCTATGAAAAATAAAGAAAAAGAATATTTATCACTTATATCATCCCTTAAATTTAGTTTGGAAAAAGCTAAAGAACAAGCAGAAGATTGTAATCGTTGTAAAAAAGAATTAAATTTAGTTAAAACTAAATTAAACGAAGAGGGAAAGGTCAGATTTCGTTTTCTCCCATAGGGGGACATAGGGGGGGGGGAAAGAATATTAGAAAAAATTATTATTATTAATAAATTTGGAATTTTTTTCAGAACAGATAATAGAAGCATTGCAAAGGAGTCATGATAAAATGCAAGATTTAGTTGAAAATTATGTATTGGAAAATGATAAATTAAGAACACAATTGAAAATAACAAAATTGGAAACGCAAAAATATAACGTTTTGCTCTCGAGTAAAGAAGAAGAAATAAAAAAATATAAATTCGAAATGGGGTAACATATTTGTTGTTGTATAACGATGAGGGGGGATTTATTGATAATAATAATATTTGTATGTTTCAGATCGTTTCAAAGGCAAATATGCGAACAATTAAGTTTATTAAGATCAAAAGCATCAGAAAATCAAGTTGAAAACGCATTGAAAACATTTGCAGATCAAGCTGGTCTTTTAAGTCAAACGGAAAATGAATCCGGACAAACAAATACAAACGAATACAGCGATAGAATATCATTTACAACGAGTAAAACATCCCTGGAATCCATTTGGAGTCGCGGAGGTATAAACGATGAAAAAGAAATAAAACAACAGCAACAACAACAGCAGCAGCAACAACAACAACAACAACAACCCACGACGATGACGACGACTTTGTCTATATTCGAAGTGAAAAAATCTAAAAATATCAACAGCGTCGTTAACGTTCAAAATCAAGATGGCGGTAATGATAATTTTAACGATTGCGAATACACGAGTTGTAAATCCGATGATTCCGATCGTGATGAAATTAAATTAGATGAAAACGATTATCGAAGAACGAGTTTAAACGATTTGATTAATTCAAAAAGATTAAAAAATAATATAGACGACATACTTCACGATATGAAAATCGATCCATCCGATGAAACATGGATGACTTTACCAAACGCTTATAACAGTTTACAAAGAACTCTTCGATCATCATCAACTGAAATAATACCAGAATTAAATCCGACGCAATATTAATATAAATTTAATAAAAGTAAATGTCAAAGGTCAATTAACACAAAAAAAAAAAAAAATTATGTTAAGTGTCGTACATTATATTCGTTCTCACAGTTTTTTTTCTTTCATTAAATTTAATTTTTTTTTTACAAAACAAAAACAACCAGGAACGTTAATTAAATAAATAATTAAATACTTTTTCATTTTATATAAAATAAATATTATTATTATTATTATTATCATCATTAATTATCTACATTATTTTAAGAAAGCGAAAAAACTAAAATTCAAATACGATAAAATTATTTATTTATTTATTTTCTACATTTAAATGATAAAATTATAATTTTGACAAAGTCAAATAATAATAATAATAATAATAATAATAATAAAATCTAATATTTTTTTTTGTATAATATAAATTATTATAATTACACCCGGAAATGTTTTTTTTGTTTTGGAACGATTCACATAATTAAAAAGTTTATTAATAATAATAATAATTATCTAAAGGTCGCCAGGTAATTAAAACAAGTAATATTATATATATATATATATATATATATAATATTTATTACTAAAAACGTATAGAATTTAAAAAGCAGTCAATAATAATAATAATAATAATAATAATTATTGTTAAATATAAGCGAGCAGCCGGGAAAGAGAAAAAGAGAGAGAGAGAGAGAGAGAGAGAGAGAGAGAGAAAACTTTTAATAAATTTTGTTTGTTTGTTTGTGTGACTTGTAACGTTTTGCTCGCGTGTTAAATAAATTTATTATTATTATTATTATTATTAGATGCTAGAGAATATAATAAAATAATCAATGTTAATATTTGAATGGAAATAATTATCATTATTCCCAATAAGAAATCAATTAGCGTCGTTACCTTTTTCATCTCGTAACTGTTTGTATGATAAAAAGAAAGAAAAAAGAAAAACAAAATGATAACGTAAGGTTCTTATCACATGTAAAAAAAAAAAAAAAAGCAGAAGAAAAATTTAAAAAAAAATTTTTTTTTTTTTTTATTTAAAAAAAAATAATGATGATAATAATGATAAAATAAAATAATAATAATAATAATAATGATAAAAAAATAATTAAAAATAAAAAAATAATGATGATAATAATAATACACTGGAAAAATTATTATTTTTTTTTTTTTATATTGTATATATAATATGTATATATATATATATAAACTTACTTAATTATTATTAAATCACTGGAGTTGTCTGGAATATTCTGAAATTCGTTAAATCCTGTTGAAACGGGTCCACCCTAAAATAATAAGAAGAATAAGAAAAATTATTAAAAAAAACGTTTTAAATGGTAAAAAATGAATGATTTCCAGTAAATTCCAGTAAATAAAAAATTAAACACCCTGTTTGAGTAGCTGCGTTTGTTTGTTTCCTTGATTTTTCCGGGGTTTTACTACGCGGGAAAACGACGTTTTCTGTCGTTCTGTTGATTTCCAACTTGAGAACTTGAACCGTTTTTTCCCTTTCTTCCAATTGCTGTTGTAAAAATAATACCTGACGACGTAAATCGAAAAGTTCATCTTTCATAACGACAACGTTGTTGTCTCCTCTTTCATCATCTGTATGATTTATCCTACCATTTTCCTGAAGGAGGTTACCTTCAGACTATAATAAAAATTAATTAATCAATTTCTTTTCTTTTCAGTTAATCTTTAATGATGATGATAATAACCTCAGATAAAACTCGTTTAAGTTTCAACAGCATCGTTTTCATGCTGACGACATCTTGAAAAACGTTTTGAAATGAAATTTTATCCATTTTAATCATCATCGACTCATCGTCAGGTTTACGACGACCACAGCTCAGTGATGATCCACCATTTATTAATTCTGAACAATTTAAATTAATCGAATTGTTGTTTTTATTCGTGTCTAAATTTGTAAGTTTTTCATTTTTTATCATAGTTTTCCTAAAAAATTAGACAAAAAAAAAATTTTTTTTTTTTTTTAGGTATTTTACGAACCGGAAATAAAAATCTACAACCGTTATAAACGGGGTAAGTATAAAAAATATAAACAAACTCTAACACTTTTTTATAAACATTTGTTCACTACAATTATAATTGCTCTCTAACAATGCCTTGATTACAACTAAAACAATTTTGTAGTGATTATGTGTTTCCTCCACCTCCATGTTTAAAAAAAAAAAAATGTTTCCACTTGAGAACTTAACACGCGAAACGTTACAAAACCGACATTTTTTAAAAGTTTCTCATCCGTAAAATACATAATCCGATGATTAATTTAATATAATAATAATTATTCAGGTTAATGAAAAAATAAAAAAATGGTTGCATAACTTTCCAAAGAAAGAAAAATAACATTCTCCATTGCACTTTTTTTTTTTTTTTTTTTTTTTGAGAGAGAGAGAGAGAGAGAGAGAGAAAATATAGAAAAGAGAGAAAAGACTCACCTTAAAATACTGTTACTATTTTGACTAGAAGAATTAATTACACTTTCTGTTTTAATACAACTAATAACAAGTGTACTTTCTGAATTGTCACCGTTTGTCAATCTAAAACAATTATTATTATCATCAGTATAAATTTTTAATAAAAAAAAAAGCGGGAGGGGGGGGGGAAAAGTACCTTTCGACATTCTCATCAAAAGAATTTGATTCGAAATCAAGCATGAGATCATCTGATGAAATGCTTTCGCAGGGAGATAAAGTACCACATGAAGAATTTAATCTGGCACCTTTTTTTTCATTTTTATTTTTATTTATTTCTTCTTCTCCTTCTCCTTCTCCTCCTCCTTCCTCCTCTTCTTCTTTTTCTAATACTTTTTTTATTTCTTCATCTGACAAAAAAAAAGAAAAAAAATATAAAAAATTGTCATGGAAAAAATTAAAAATGGAAGAAATGAATAATTACCATCTTTTTTTTTTATTCCAACCGTAGAAATTTCATTTTCGACTCTTTCTAATAAAATTTTCCTTTCATCATCGCAAATGCAATTTTCCATAAATTTTTCTGAAAAGCATAATTGCGGTTGATCCGCGATTTCATCGTCAATTAGAAAGTCTCTTCCATCAGATATGGAAAGAGAATTGCTCGTGTGCGTTGGAGTGTCCGGAGAACCCGGAGAAATCAAAGCTGAGAAATAATAATTAAATCATAATAATAATAATAATAATAAATTTAATTTTTAAAAAAATTACTTTTATTTTTTTTCTTTCTTTTTTTTTTTTTAGGTAATGTAATCTACCTCAAGATAAATTCTCACCCAGACAGTTATTTTTTCCTTCCTTGTTAATTCCAATCTCATCGACGACATTTTCCAATTCATTTTCATTTAAATCTATATCACTTTTTAAACTAATACTATTATCATCATCATCTTCTTCTTCATCATCATCATCATCATTCATTTTAACTTTTAAATTTTTCTCATCGGATTTTGTTTGTAAAATTTTTAAAATTTTTTCCTTGTCATTATTTTTATCCTCTCCTTTATCTCCGAGAGAATCCGTATCAGATGATAACGGGTCAGACATGCTGCCCTCCGAGGAAGTTAACTGTTCGTCCGAAAGTGTATTCAAAAGTTGGTAACAAGAATTTTTATCGTCCTGAAATAAATTACAAAAAAAAATTAATAAGAACTACATAAAAAGGTTTATTATGTAAAAACAAATAATTATTTATTCTCTCTCTCTCCCTCTCTCTCTCTCACTCTTCACGTCCTACCTCTTCCATAAAATTATTTCTCAAAGGTAAATTTTTTCCTTTTAATTCTTTACTAAGTTTTAAAGCTTCCAATCGTATACTGTTGGGTGTGACGTCAGTTTCGGTATAAAACGTAGGTTTTATCCTTTTCGAAGTTGAACTACTTATATTATCATTATCTTCAAAATTAAAACATAAATTTTCATCATCCGCCATTGCTTCTCCGGATACCATGTAATCAGGTTCGTTAAATTCTTAAACACAAAATAATTTGAATAAAAAATGAACCTTTTTTTTATAATAAATGGGGGGAGTATTTTATTTACCATCTAACATAAAATTTTTCTCTGATTTTTTGCTATCTTTAAATAATTTTTCTTCTTCTGATTCAGCATCCGGTCCAACATCTCGATCAACACGGTGACAAGAACCTACGGTAGGTATAAGGTATTATTTCAATTTCATATTTTATATTAAAAAATTTGAAATTGATTTTGTCAAAACTTACTTTCTACGTTAGACTTGAGACGTAAATCAAATGTTTTTTTACAATTTGTATCAAAATTAGTATTATTGTGATTATTATTATTATTATTATTATTATTACTAGTATAATTATTAGTGACTTGTGAGATTTTTTTAAGGTATTCATTTGTTCTCTCTTCGACTAAACCGGTGTTAATAACAGAAGTGTTGGGTGGTCTTGTTTTAGCAACAGGTAATTTAATTACCGATACTTCCGTGATAACTCCCGATTTATTATCAGAATCCTCTTTTTTTAACAACTCAAATTTATTTCCGACTATTTTCATTTCCAGCTTTGTACCTTTACAAGCCGGTAAACGTTTCCTAAAAAAAAAATTTTTTTCTTTAAAACATTACCATATATATATAATAATTAAATTTATGGATGTTAATGTTACCTCAATTTAGAACCTGGACTAGAATCTAACATTTCAATTTTTTTTTCCAGAGTATTATTCGCACTGGAATGTGATTCGAAACCGGAGTCATCATTTAAAGATCCTTCTTTGGAAGAATTAAAATCACTTGGAGGTCCTTTTTAAAATAAAAAAAAATTCCATAAGGTAAGTAAAATTAATTTTGATAATTAATCAATCAATCATTTTTTTTTTTTTTTTTTTTGACAATTTTAATTGAATTATTAAATTTTAAAATTAATAGTAAGCATTAAGGCAATATTTAATGGATTTTAATGTTATTGATTTTAAGGTATTAAAAAAGTACCTCCTCTACGATAATAATTAGTTGCTGTTTTAACAGTCTTTGTATCCGTGACTCTTACAGGAAACTGTGGCCTAGGAAGATGAGATGTTTGAAGAGTAAATTTTTTAGGTTGATTCAAGGTAGTTAAACATGATTTAGATTTATTTAATCCAATGTTAAGAGAATTCGATCTAAAAAAAAGAAAAATAATGATGATATTTTTCTTCGAACAGTAATTTATAAGTTATCATGGATGGCCATTACCAATAAATTAAACTCAAAGTTAAAAAATAAGCTGACAACAGAGTTGACATTGATGTTAAAAATAAGAATCAAATTTCAGTTATATATTAATAATAAATAAAATGAATTTATAATATACACTTACGCTATTAATGGTTTAAAAAAAACTTCTTTAGGGCCTTCGCTTCTAGACCTTGTGATAACATCAGAATTATTATTATTATTATTTGTAACGAATGAATTTGAATTTTTGTGTTCTTGTTCAGGAAAATAATTTATTCGAGATGCTGTACATGATGCACTCGTGTCAGTTTTATCAATATATTTCTTTGGTAAAATAGTAGGGCGAAAACCAAATCTGTTAACAGGTACATCTGACTCTGTTAGAGTTTCATTTTGGGAAGTTAAATTAATCGGATTTATTTGATGATTGTTTGAAGAAACTTTTAAATTGTTTTCATTGTTTGTGGCACTTTTCTTATTGACATGGCATGAATTCATTCCCTAAAAAATTTCAATTTGAAATTAATGCATAATGCATAAAAAGTACCAATCATATATACACAAGGGATTTTTATAATTTAATGGACGTTATTTAAATTGTAAATTAAATTCATAATTATCAATTAAACAATAAAGAAGAATTTAAACAAAACTTACTACAATAGTTTTTTTTCTAATCATTTTTGGAGTTGATCGGAAAGGTGCATGACATAATGATTCGACAGAACTACCACTTTGATAATCATCAGTGACATTTTTCTGACTAGTTCTATTACCAACATGAACTAATTTTTCTCCAGAGTTTCTGGACGATTGTGAAGTGAGAGTAACAGGTGTGGGCAACTGAGTTTTCTTTTTAAAACCAAACGAAGATATTTCTCCCTTGTTAAACGGTGCTATTTTTTTAGACGATCCCTAGTAATAAAATTAATAATTTATTATTTATTAAAATCATTACTACATTATAATGTCAACAATTTAATGATATTAAAATCAGTATAAGGCGCTGGGTATTTTATGAAGAAAAAAAATAAAAGATGCTACACAATGTATTTTAATTGAAACATTTTATCAACCTAAAATATTTGACAGGTTTTTTTTCTCATAATACTTCATTGATGTGAATAAAAAATGTGTTTAGGGCTTGTTTTTATTGTAACAAAAAGGAAGTTTTTAAAAACCTTGTTTTAAAAAGAACTCAACTAGTAGAACAGAAATAAAATTAAATATAAAATAACTGCATCTTAATACATTATACATTAACATTCAAACTTTTTATTCTTGACTTTTTAAAGGAGTCAGAAAGCATTAAATTTTGTTTTGATTAGCATATCATTAAAGTGAAAAGTATTTGAAACCTTGGTGTTAACAAGATTTTTAATCATTAATAAACTCTTTAAAAGAAATAAAATTTTATAAAAAATAATAATAATTTTTCTCTTGTAAAATAAAAAACCAAATAAAAACAGGAAATAAAAGTTTGTCTATTAAGTTTCACAGTAACCACTTGACTTTTAACCAGTTTCAAGGTAAAATATACAATACACATAAAGCTTTCACCACATATAAATTTTAAAAATATGTTTATTTAAATAAACAGAAAAAAGGTTCAGGCTTTCAATTTTAAATAAAAAATTTTTAAAGGTAATGTGTAATTTATAAAATAATTAAATTAAAAATTAAATGTGCAGGTTAAATATTGGTTCTAACTTTAAGCATATTGAATGAGTTTTTAATAAATTTGCAATTTTATTGTTATTTTATCAGAAGAAAAAAAAAAATAAATAAATCAAATAGACAAAATAAACACATAAATAATAACCTACTTTTGAATGAATATCTTGTTCATCTCTATCCATTTTAAAATGTGAAATTGGTTTTTTTATAGAATTAAACTTGATTGTTTTGGAAGATTTTTTAGAAGTACAATTTCCCATTTGTGATAATCAAAAATGGGCACCGAGCTGAGAAAGAGCATTTGCCTGAAAAATCATTGATAAATATATATATATATAAATTAGAGAGCAAATATTTCATAGATCAATCAATCAATAAAAAAAAAAAAAAGAAAGAAAATTAAGATGTTAAAAAGAAATGATTCACACTAAAATACTTACCTAAGTTAAACGTCAAATAATTTTAATCAATATTTAAAAAAAGAAAAAAAGTAAAATTAAAATTGTATAATACAACTAAATAATTAATTTTAAAAAATTTTATTTTATGTCATGAATAAAATTTGAAATTTTTTTTTGAAAACAGGTATGATACCACTTCCGAACAACTATGCCTGCAATTACGATACCACTATCTATTAATTCAACATAAAATGTTAGGTATATTAATTCCAGAACTACATAACTCCTACAAACTCGACATTTTAAAAATTTAATTATATGACTTGAGGAGAAAAATAGAGAAAGTAAAACTATTAAATAATTTTTTACATTACTACATGATAAGATTTAAAAAAATTGTTATAAATAAAAAATTTACTTGTATTTTATTACCTTTATAAAGAGCCATTAGTAAGTAAATTGATTTACTTAAATTCTCTAAACCACATAACTAAAATCCTGATAAAGTCTAAAGAAAAATCGATAAAGAATGCGCAGACACTAGACGAAACTAGTCGTGATTAATTACACCTTAAGGCCTTCTGTAGATAAAACCTTTTTTGGCGGAATTTTTAAAATTTTATTTAAAAAATTTTTGTAGAATTGGGAAAATATTTGGATTTCGGTAAAATGAAAAACTTCATTTTAAAATATTTATTATTTATTATTAAAATTGTAATATTAAGGAATTAAATAGTTGAAGTCAAGAGTTTCCTAGTTACACTTTTTTTTTTTTTTTTAAAAAAGCAGCGAAAATTGTTTTGAAGCAAGACACAACAACTTGTTAAACAGTTTACAATCTTAAATTCAACGTGTGACTTATCTGTTACAACTTGAAAATATTTTTTTTTTTAAAGTTTTTTTTTTTTTATTTATTTTTGTGTATCATTTGAATAGTTTTTTTTTTTTTTAAAAGCAATTTATTTTGTAATAAATGAGATTGTATGAGGCAAAAACAGTTTTATTTTTGTACTTTTAGTTGTATAATTTCAATTAAAATTGAATGTTAGCTTTGTTGTTGTAATGTTTTCTTCAAATTTGCGCAAAGATATAATTGAACTTGAAAAGAAAATTTCCGTCTTTGAAAACGAGTGTAAAATTGTCGAAAAGAATGCATTAAAAAGAAAATTAAGTTCTAAACCAATATCTCAAAGTAAAGGTTTAGATACATGGATTCCTACATATGCCTTAAAGGCTCTGTCAGAATTAGACGCTCCTAAAAAATCAAATTCTTCTGATTCGAAAGTTTATTCTACTAGCTCTGCACCATCAATTTGTAGTAAACGATGTAACAAATCTGATTTTGTGGCTGATAATAAGGTTGGAAAAGTAAAAAATAATCGGAATAAAAACAAATCAGTAATAACGAAGCAGTCTAATCGGAGGAACGATTTATGTAATTCAGAAAACAAAGTTAAAAAATGTAAAAGTACCAAATCATGTGGATCCAGTACGAATTCTAATGTTAAAAAAATAGAAATTAGCAATGGCAGTAAAAAGTCTGAAGGAAATGTTCCTTGTAAGCAAATGTTGTCACATCCAAATAGCGATATTGAAGCCATTGTTAGAGAAGCACTAAAGTTAAATAATAATTCTAAGAAAAAAACAGATTTTGTAAAAAATAATGTAGATTCTGAACAATGTCAGTGTGTTTCAAGTAAAAAAGATGCAGGTCAAAAGTGGTCTGATATTTTGGCAGAAGAAGCATTAAAAAATAAAGAAAATAATTTCTCAAATTCAAATTTTACTCCGTCTAATCTCAGTGAAAATTGTGGTTTGTATTTTAAACTTAGATTTTTAAATATCTAAAAAATTTTATATTATTATTATTATTATTATGTAATGTAACTAATTAATTTCTTTTTTTTTTTTTCAGCATTCAGAAAGAT